CCGCCGACAACGGAATAATCTGGACGCTCGATTGGCCGTGGCCATTTTCTGTACTGTGCAAACTGAGCTGAACTGAAAAAAACTTGTTTGTTTGTTTGTTCGTCCCTTGACCTTTCACGAAGGTCGAATTTCGACTGGAAGCATGTTAATCGCGTTGCTGGTTGCATTCTCATCCTCGTTGTGTTTAGTTGCGGCTGACTTTAAGTTAAGCGACTCCAAACTGCTACTGCCTTATTACAGTTTCAATGCTGTCAATTATACACTCCACGGATCTGATGGTGCATGTTACGATTGGTAGGTTATTTACCATCTAATCACGTTTACAAATTTAGGAGTTCAGCAACACCAGAAGTAGCTACCGTAGCGCCCATATACGAATCGGATTCTGAATGCAGCAAGTCGGCGTTTGTTACTGCTGTTTGGCAGTCCCCCCATCGAGCCGTAACCACAATCCACGCCCGTGTTTCAAGTAAGATGTCGATTTTCATTTTATTTGTTCTGTAGCCACTGGACACATTGTCAAGTGCGACGTAATCGTTGACAACATTCATAGAATCGAGATAGAAACAATAACACAAGAGCTTTATTTGCACAATACTCCAGAGTCCCTCGTTGCTGTGGGATATGATGAGTTCGGAAATACTTTCTCCACGCTTGATGGAGTTCCATTTGAATGGCAGATACACGGGGATAGCTACAGCGGTGCGGGTGATGGACACAGTGTTCTCAGATTCTTGACATGGACAGAGTCAGAGTATGCTACTCCACCAGGTATTGCGAAACTCGAAGAAAGAGGATTGCAGGTATGATCTTTTTATTGTCTGGCATTATGTATTAAGGGCTCCATGCAACTTGTGAGTGGTCTGCGTACCGGATCAGCGGTGGTTGGTGTTTCTCTCTCGGAACCTATTTACAGTGGAGTTAAGTCATCACAAGTTCGCCTTTTGGTCATGGCAAACGCTCAGTTAAGTCCTGCTCTCGCCTATCTGTTACCTGGCTCTCGAATCCGACTTCGCGTCCGCGTGATTCAACAGGGTAGTGATCAAGGTAAAGAGGATTTCTTTTTTTATAGTGCCAATAGATTTTTGTTGCTTCTTTGATTATAATACTTGACTTGACGCGTTTGACATTCCCCTCCAGAATATTAAGTCGTACATCTCAGTTGAACCAAGATATCGTACGATCTCATCAGAATAAGCGAAAATCAGCTTCCGTGTCCTTGACATTCACTCATGTATGCAGGCAACTTCAGATCAATCTCTTTATCTACATATATTGAATCATAGAATCTGTTAATAAGATGTTTACTCCTGGCTTAAAAACCATTTGCTTTTTGATTTTGCCCCGATTACAGAAATAAATATGCCGTCGCCACNNNCAGTATCATTTACAAGTGAATGATTCTACCTTGGCGTCGCTGGATTCCGACGATGGTTGCACAGTAACTGCAAAACGTTTCGGACAGACCCAAATAACCCTACTTGACCGAAGTAAGTTCCCGATTTTTTTCTTGTGTATTTACTACATTTTTCGTTGGTCTATACAATAACTGCCTCAATCTTTGACTACCGGTGTCCTGTTGGGATATATGATTCCGTAGTCCTTAAACGAGTTCCGGTCATCCTAAGTGAAAAGCCATACCTCGTGGCTGATGTTCATCCTACTTTTTATCATGGAAGTGCGTGATATCGGAGGTGAGGCAGAAATAACGGTATCTGTAGCCTTATTTGAATGATTCATCCATCTCACTAATTGAGTTTAATAAAGCATGCACATTGGTATTATTACAATATTATATTTCACACCTGTCTGAGGGCAGACTGTGCCAGGCAAATCATGGTACAAAAATCTTTATAAAAAAGAGAAAACGTTCCGGCTTGTGGGCTGAATACTACCAAGTTGCCCTGGCCAAGGCAGATGAATTCTCTCGGGAAATCCACAACCGGGGCCCTCGGCTAGCCAAAGCCTGACCCACAAGGCAGCGGGGCGGTTTGTGAAAACCGCAGTTCATTGGAGCCGGTGTTCATTTCATCGGATCACACGCCCTTTGAACCTGGTCAAACATCCAAGGTGCCCAATACACCTCAATGTTCAGTCGAGCCAGTGACCACTGCCGCAGCCGGAAAGATGTGGGTGTGGTTTGTACGCCTTATGGTTGGTTTGGAATCAGGGTTTTTGGCCAACTCTCCTAGGTGAACTGCCAATGGTCCACCAACCCGGTTATAGCCCTGTATGTTGGCTTTTCGCCTTCTCACTTTGGTGGGAAAACACCGTCACGGGAAGGCAGTCAGTACGGATTCCTCGGTAGAGGCTATTCGAGACGCTTTGTCGTATAAAAGCATTTCGCTAGGTGCAAGGGCAGGGTGATCAACCACAATACTAGACACCCACCTCCGACCATACTGAGGCTTTTGGAGGCGTTGGGTAAGCAGGCTAGTTTCGCGACTTTTTCTGGATTTCATGCAAACAATTCGATCCAGTCCTGATTAGTGATTAATGTCACATCACAGTGCATGTCTAAGTAAGTGACTAAACTCGGCCCGTTTTTTACTTTTAGTATATTTACATATATCATCGGCTTGAGAACAAGCATGGTGCCAGCGCAAGAGTGAAAATGAAGTTATAAAGGGGTACAGAAAGAATAAATGAAAATGGGGGAAAAGAGAACAGGGAAAACAAATGAATTAACGAATGTTTTTTTTATAGTTTCACCATACACCTTTTGAAGGTTTTTTGTCCGTTATGGAGAACGGGGTTTCGACAATTAAACCGCACAACAATCGTGCCGCTGACATTCTGCGCTATATCTCTTAGCGTCTCTAACCATCGGCAATCCTCATCCCTTGTGCCCCAGCCAGGAAGGCAAGGTGCATCGGCCGAAGCCAATGCTGAGGCTAACTTCTTCATACCTCTACGCCATGTCATGGTTTGACCGTCGCGGCGCATCCTTCAACCTTGCCCAGCACGAGCAAAGAGAGCACGGAGAGGTAGATGGGCAGGCATACGCAAAACATGACCGAGTCATCGGAGGTAGTGTAGAACGATTTCTTCCGTTGCGGAACGACTATCAGTACCCATCGCCCGACGACGAATTTCCTCTTAGTGTGGCGAATGATAGTCGAATCCCCATATTCGTCAACACCTGTTTGTCATGCAAAATGCTTATCTAAGCCCTAGTTAGACACTGGAGGCTCTGGTACTTCGCTTTGAATGCATCGTAGTGAAGTGTAACGGCTTCATAAACCCTGGTGGTTGATGAACATTATGGGGTTAAATATTGTAAGGGATGCCCCTAGAAACAAGCAATTTGACCTTTTTACGTTCAGGTGCAACCTTCAAGGTATCCAAGTTGTTCCGGACAAACTGGCTTCTACTGGTTCGGTTCAAGCGCCGTTGTTGGAGGGTCATATCGAGTAGATGGAAGAGAGCTACAGGTGATGTCTTTATTAGTGGTGCATTCCCCGACATACAACGGACAGACCAGATGCCATGCTACCCCACTATGTTTGCTACAGGCTGATGTGTGTCTGTCTTTCATGACAGGTATCCTTTATCCCGATTCAGTAGAATAAGATAAGATTCTATTCGAATCGGGCACATTTTGATCTTGTCGGAGCGGATCAGGACAGTCCTAGAAATTCTTACTTGGAGGTCTTGGTTAACCAGAGGCTTCTTCGTGAGGCAGTAGATCGATGTCTAAGTTTATTGACGATATATATATATATATATATATATATATATATATAATGATGCATTCCATGTTTTGTTATTACAGCTTTTGTACTCAGTTGTTGAACGCTCTAGGCCATTGATTCTTTTTTTTCGAACGGCAAATGTTGAATCAAAATCCGGATAGTGATATCTTTGTTAGTTTGACTGCTTTTCACTATGATAAAGGCTTGCGGTCGTATTTTGGTGGCGTCTTCATTTGCAATCGCTTCATTTCGTCTTATTTGTTTAATGTAAGGCATACAAAACCGTTTAATTTCAACTTTTTGTTGGATTAATATTCCCCAACAGATGTTGAAGAGGCTCTGGAGAATCTTCGGTCCGTACTGAACACGGCGGCGTCAAGCGAGACCGATCTTAAACTACCACGACGTCGATTACCCACTTCATTAATTCATATAGTTGAACCAGCTTATTTTGGATTTTCTCTGGTTAGACTGTCATCCAGTGACTTGGATCTTTGCAAGCAAGCTTTTTCAATCTCTAACAATGGGACAGGCGCGAAATTAACTTCGGTGGATTCAGGGAAATCAGGGAGGGACTGGATAATGGAAGTTGGGAAACGTTATGCCTTTGTGATTGACCTCTACGACCAGAACAGTCATCGTATTTATCCCACGGACAATATCCGTGTTTCACTTCGATTTCCTGAGAACAAAATGGAGGTGGTCGAATCCTCAGAAAACGGAACATATCATATTCTGAGACCTATTGACCACGGTCCGATTTCACTAGAGGCTCGTCTACACCATGTAATAGATAAGGTGAGGTTTGTTATTAATTTATCCCTGTCAAGTATTGTTTCCTTACTAATCTCGTTTATCAGTTTGTTTGTTTTTACAAACTAGAGCTTAACATTATAGCTTCTAGCTGTGATCTTATCCATTCAACGGATCGCTGGCGGCTATATTTGTCATTCTGTTTGCGTTCTTCCAGAATAACGGTGTCATGCAGGTGGATACCCCAGTCACAGGCTCCCAAGAAATCATGATTTATCCGCCAGTACGTATCCAACCGTCAGAAGTAATTCTCCCTTGGCCTGGGGTTACGGACAACTCAAAACCCTTGGACTCAGATGATGGCTTTCAACTTCAAGCAACCGGAGGAAGCGGTCACATCACATGGGTTGCATTACCTGGCCAAATCAACCTACCCGTGGACTCTACCACGAAAAATATTCAGTCGAGACAGGTTGTCACGGTCACACCAAGTGGACAGGTATCCGCCAAAGCGTTCGGCGAAGCTACTGTTGTAGCATTCAGTTCCGCTCATCCCCAGCTATGTGGTGCTGTCAAAGTAGTGGTGACTTCCCCGTCTTCTATTCGGTTCGTACCTGGACCAGCGGAAGTAGTAATTCCCGAAGATCCCCATGGTGCAGCACGTGGTTTCACAAATGAATTATCTTACTTTGAGGAAGACAGTAATGCTATTACCGATGCATCTGTTCTCACCGTTGGTATTGCGGTTTTGGATCCGTTAGGTCGTAGTATGACTGACTGTCGTCGGCTACACATCCCCGTTCGACCATTAGACCGATCTGTCTTGCGAGTGTTGCCAGGTATGTTATTTAATCCTACAAATTGTTACCTATTGCAGTTCTAGTAACGTGAATAACTACGAAAATAGCTTCCTCAGCTTCGAAAAGTATAAATAAATGCGTCTACTTTATTCTACTGCTTTCCTGTAGGTCGTTTACCTCCATTGCTTAAGGATACTATCAACGGCTCTTCGGGTCAAATCGCAGCATGTGTCCGACTTTTAGTCACTGGTTCTCAGATCGGTTTCACAGAACTCGAAGCCATGCTTGACCCGTCAGAAAGTCAGGCGTCCAACGCGACTGATTCAGAAGATGAAAAATCCACTGGTGTTCTGACCAGCCGGTTCTCTGTAGCCGTCTATCAACCCATAAAATTTTTAGATCCCATCTCAAGCAAAACTTATGTGGCTACCGGATCGACTCGATCTATGATAGTAAGTCTCCTGTCTCCTTTTCTGTTAAGGGTTACACTGAAGGTCTTTTGATTTATTCAAGAAGTTAGGTATGTAAACACATTTTATTTTTGCATTTCAGTTTAGTCGAGGTCCACGTCCATGGCCCCTTGAACCAACTGGCTATTTCAGTCGGATCGCACCTCTCGTGAAGGGAACAAAGCGAGTGGACGCTGACGGCACATTTCCAGTTGTAATCCAGAAACCAGAGCTTTGGAAACCTCTCAATTCAGATGATTCTTCTGAAATGATGGGTGCACAACCGGACCCAGTTTCTTTATTGGCAAGCGAGACCAAATTGCGACCAATGGCTTTTACGATGCAATGTGGCAAAGTTGGAGTTTATGAATTCGTGCTACAGATCGGGAACGGACCCAGTTCCTTAAATCCCATCCCGCTGATGATGTCAGCTAAATTTACGTAAGCCTACCTTCCTACCCCGTTTTTCCATTCCCGTTCACTCATTTCGGATTTAAAAGCCATCTTTGAACATTTTCCAAACGTAATTAAAATTCATTTTTCTGTTTCCAAAAGAGGCTAAATCACCATGGTTTTTTTTAAGATACGTACAATTTGCGAAGTGAATAGTAGGATCGGCAAACACAATAGTCACGGGGACCCACTCTTCATCTACGGAAGGTGGTAACCGTACTTCTGAATCTTGACTTGGTGAATCACACAAGACACCCTTGGGATAGGCGTCGTATTGAGTTAGGCGTCAGCGAAGCTGCCTACCGCAGGAACACTTGTTACTACCAATCACTGTTTTTTCATCTGTCAACACATTGCACAGTGTTTTCAAGTGTGACATTTGCAGCTGTAAGAACAATTTTTAAGTTCTTTTGTCATAGACTCCCAGCAACATGCGTTGGAAGCGTGAGACTGCCCTAGAAGCTAAACTTTATCAGACTCAAGTCACCAGTGTGGTGACTGAAGCAGATAACAGAAATCTAAAAGTGTGATACAAATTGGATAATGCATGAACCGACTGAACAGTGGGAAGTTTTCACATTTATTTATCAAAGAAATAGTCTTATAAAAATGTGCAATCGTATTGTCGATTCATCCATCTTTTAACCAGTTCGGTCTAGTAAAAGCCTGAAAACTGAAAGCCGATTAAAGGCCTGTTTGTTTTGAAGTAGTATGAATTAAATTATTTTTTCTATGAAACATCCGAATGGTCTCATATTCACTATTCACTCCCTAGTATTGTATGCGACCTGGCCGAAAGACTGCGACTAGTCTTATACAGACCGAACGTCTTATTGCCTCCTGGCATTCCTGCTTGTCCTCTGCTAAATACGTCTACGCCGGAGCCTTCAGATGTGGTAAGTCTTACCGATTTCAGGTGTTTTTGTTCGAATTTCTTATACAGTCGTGGTTGAACCATGCAGAATATGTTTAAAGTTTATCCGGCTTGATTCCTGCCACTAGATAACTATTTTTACTAGGGGCACCTGCTTAATGGCTGGACACCCTAGCAGTACCCGTCCATCAAACCCCAGTGCATATGCATTGCGAGTTTGGCAGCGATCAGTGAAGTTCACTTCTCTGTATTTCGCTGTACGATGATGATGATGATGCGCTTCATGATTGTGCCCCGTTCCTCGATTGTTATGGTGACAGATCTAACTACACAAAACAGTACCGGACTGTTACGCAACGAAGTCGTATACTTATTTCCAACTTTTCATTTGGTTCACAAGTATCTAATGGACGTGATATCGTGTGTCACTATCCCATAGAATTAGAACTGAAACTAGTGATCTCTCAACGAGCTACACAGAATGATTTTTTGTTAAGCCGTAGACTTAATGCCTAGAAAATCGAGGGGTAGAGATCAGAAAAAAGTTCAGTCTCCTGGTCCCTTAGGTCGGGATTCGACTCGCATTGGCGTCTCAGTCGACGCAAAAGTGACGGAGAAGTAATTGATCCAAGTAAATGAACCTTCACCTAACCCTCTGCCTTGTGGTTAGGCTTTTATCAGAACCACTTTGATTGAGAACCCTAATTGCTGGAAACCATAGCCGTACCCTTCCATAAAGCTCCAATGAGTACACAAACTAGAAATGCACTGCTGAATGGGTCATCGCGCAGGATAATCAGGACCGCGCTACCCATTGCATCGAGCGGGGTGGGTAGTGATAGATGGGCTACTGCTAGGAAATGTCAACCATTTTTGACCCTGTCTTCTATATCCAATCCTTGTCTTCCATCGCATATCTTGTTTGCCACCCGTCAATGGTCGTTGCCAACTAGCACCAAGGGTACCGTATTTCGCCACTCTTGTTCAATTTCGTCGTAGACGAGGACGCACTTAGTGGTCTTCAAAATTTAGGTGTGGAATTGGCGGGTGGAGAAAAGTTGTGCGAGTCAGAGTACGCTGACGACGTCGTTTGCCTTGAGAATGCCCTAAACCCTATCGAAATGTTTTCAAGTTCTGTGACTATTTAGTATGTGCTTTGCACCTTCAAAGTGCAAAGTGACCCTACAACACTGGGTGTCGTCCATCCCGGCTCTGATACTTGGTGGTCAAGAAATAGTTACAGTGGATTGTTTCTCCTCAGTTAGTTGTGACAAATGATGGTAGAGTACTCAGGAAAGTAGCCGCCCACATTTCCAAGGCACGAAAACCGCACGCAGTTCTGAAACACCTCTGGTGCCGATGTGATGTTTCATTGAAACTGAAAGTTCGCGTATACTGCTCCAGTGTGCGGTCAGTTCTACTTTATGGTTACGAGAGTGTAAATTTCGCATGGAAGATATTCGTTGTCTAGAAGTCTCCGACTGCTGATGTTTACGTAGTTTTGCGCGAGTTGGATGGAACGAGCCTGTAAGCAACTCGCATATTTTGTAATGATTCTGTGGAAGATTTATCACAGAATTCAGATTAGCGAACTTCGCTGGCTGGCACACCTATTGCGCATGCCCAGCTGTCGCTCACCGCCCCGCGCCTTATTCGCAGTCGCAACTGCAATTATGAGGAAACCACATAGAGGTCAACAGAATATGTGAAAATGAGACATGAAGGAATGCTCCGGCGATTAGCCAGTCAACCAATAAGAGGAAGGATGGTCATCATGACAACGGAACAACCAATCAAGTCACAGCAAATGGTTGCTATTGACCAATAGGATTTAAGGGACGCAAACAGCCAATCGAAACCCTCAAACAGAACTATATAAGCCCTATCCCACTGAGGACTGATGCTTCCCTGAAGTCGCACTGATGACGTTGCCTAGCTTGGCTACGAAACGTCTGCGATCAACACGTCCGGCTCGGAGAACTCATCAACACCAACATCCGCATCTCGAGCTACAATCATTCCACATCATTTCAAACCATTGACCTTTTTCAACTGCTCCCTACCTCGGCAAACATTGCTCATCATGTCAACCTATCTGGTGACATGCGTAGCACATGTCCTAACCAACGTAGTCTATGAAGGTCGACTAATTCCTCGGGTGGACGACCGCGTTTACCTAAAACTCTACACCCAACCTCTGCATTGCTTGTCCGGTTACCCCACCAGACTCGTGCCATGCGAACCGATAGTATTGTCATTTGTTCTCAGGTGAGAATGCTTAAAAATGTGTGGTTCGGACCATAGATGTTCACTTTCTTTGCTTCCCTTCGATTGGGCCCAAATCCAAAGCGTTGGAATAATCCTTAGAGCAGAGTGCTGCTTTTTCAAGTAGAAAGTTCAAACAATCATATTGAAACTGTCAAGTACTAGGTAACACCTGCTTCATTTTTAGGAACAATTTTCTGACTTATTTTGACTTTCTCTCCCTCTCTTCAGCTTGCTGTCCCGAATACAATCCCTCTAACCATTGGTTTGGCATTTTTCACTGCGGAGGGTATTGAGTTAGATGCAGTTGATTCCCTCTCAACATCTATATCCGTGATGGATCCAAATTCGCCGCAGCTATCCAGTCCTAGTGCCCTTGTAATTGAACCCAAACCCACGGTAAAAATAATTCGAAGTTCTGCTTCAAGGTGAGCGCAATGCTTTTTTGGCATAATTTTTAGACTTCGTCATCGCGTTTTGTTGTCAATTTTATTTCATGTCATATTTATATCACGTACAATATATACAGTCATGAATCCTGTTTTGCACGTTTAGTTTCGTTGAGTTCAGGAACTTAAACAGACTATTTTTTTCCAAATCAAGATTACTTGGCCAACCTTCTCGTCCGTACTTTATCCTAAAACCGCATACGCTTGGTTCGTCCTCCGGCCTGTTAACGGTTCGCGCTGAGGCTCGTTCCGTGTTTCCCGCCTCGAAGTCTAGTGTATCTCTTCCAACATCCAGCCTCAATATTCGTCTTAGTCCTGTGGCGAAATTGCTCCCTGGCGAACACTTGCGTCTTCTGCATCACCCGAAGGTAATATCACGTTTCGATATGTTATACGAACAAATCGGTATGTTTGAACTCAGGACTTCTTGATTTTTCTGTCTCTGTACCGGTTGCTTTTGGTTTTCTATTGCTATTTCCTTCTACGTCGCTTTTTCGTTCGTGAATTCAGTTCATACACTGTCCTCTTGACAGTCTGCTGTACCAAACATTCGACTACTTCGATCAGCTACTCACCTCTAGTCTACATACAATTTCATGATACCACCTCGAGGTTATTACGATCACGGATTGGTTAAGCAGAAACTCTAACCCGTGAATCTTTTTACTTATGCCGGTCGTCCGTAGTTTTCAGTCTGTACACTAGGTGGCATTGGAATTACTTGCCACTTGACGTGGCGTGCTGTCTTATGTGCATCTCTTATCTAACGAGCCATACACGTATTTAATTATTCATCTTCAGTGTAACAGTTACTTCAACCCTTTCTATTCATATTAGTTCAAGTAGTCGGAGATCACTTACTTAATTTCAACTGTCGACTTCTTATTATCATATTTTTAGGTAATGAACTCGTTCAGTTGTGCGAAGTAAAAGAATTTTCACTCCGTGATATTCCGTAAGATGCTCATATAATTCTAATACATGTAATATACAGAGAAATACAGTCATCTATTTCTGAATGAATGATTAATTGAGCAATTTAATTCTTCCATACAGACCGATATGTCTTTTTCGGTGCTTGGCGGTTCTGGATACTTCTTCGTATCGACCAATCCTGCCAAACCACCATCCACTCAATCGAGGCTCCGACTGATTCCGGTCGAGAATTTGAGAGCGGACTCAAGTGTTGCTAATGGTGTTCCTGTACACAGCTATCGTATTCAAACGGAACGAGTTGGACAAGCGGAAATTCGTGTGGTAGATCGTTGTTTTCCATCTCTGAAATCCAACCCGACACGGATGGAACCAGTCGTTCTCACACTAAACTTGGAAGTTGTCGGTCTAGCCGCATTGCGTTTGCAGGCAGCTGATCAGATCCCACTGGGGAGCCAGGTAGGCTGAAGCAATTATTAGCTTTACTTTTATCGCATCAGATTGCTTATCATCAACTGGCCTTTCATGCTAAGTTATCTAATGACTCGTGCTTTTTCATGTTTAGACTCCCGTCATACTTCAAGCAGTGGACTCTCGTGGTGAACAGTTGCCGCTCAGTTTGACGCGGTTCCTGGATGTGCGCGTCCATCAATCCAGTGAATTTTCAGGCAGCGAAAAGACTCAGCCAGTCCTGGGTTTGCCGGATGGCGACTCGTTAACCAGTTCTCATTGGATTAGTTCATCTGATTTCGCTTCTGGACCGAGCCATATGCGTTTTAATGTTCGTGGGTTAAAGTTGGGCTCGGCTACTCTAATCGCGTCCACGGAATCATTCTTCCAAGATTCACTGAAACCTTCTACTGTACAAAGCAATCCTATTGATATGCAGGTAAACCAATTTTGTTAGCCGCAATTTCATCATAAATGAATCATTCTAGGTCCTACTTTGGGTGGGGTAACCAAGCAGTAGAACAACAGACAACCCTCACATCATGAGTTCAAACACGATATTCCACCATTCGCTTGCGTTTTGTTTCAATTTCATGCTTTTCGTATCACGGTAGCACATTGATGGTGGGATCGTGGCACCCACCCAGTTTCAGGGCTGTTGCTGGTTGTTAGGGTTACCTATCTGGTATTGTTATGCCAAGTCATCCATACACTGCTACCCACTTGTTTTTGTTACAGGTTACTTAGTGATCCTTTTGCATATTTCCAAACGAAACAAACCTTATAGACAAAGATACTTATTTTTCAGATGCTGAAAACTGAGAACTCTACGTGATAAACGGTGATATACATGAAAATTGTCTATCATTGAATTGCGATATCCGTTAGGGATTCCTTTTCTTAAAAGGGCTAATCACCTTGTTTGATGTTTGATAATACAGGTGGGCTCGTTTTTTCGGTCCTTGTTAGTTTTATGCGTGAGTTTCAAAGCTCCTATGTCATGACTACAAACCAACTTCGGCAAAGTGCAGCTTTTTTGTCTGGAAGAATCCTAGGAGTGAACACCAACTTTTAACATAGCTTCTACCTTTTTCAATTACACACCTTTGTATGATGATCAGCAGACGGGATAAACCCCATCGTCCCGAGGACCTGTTAATTATTCATCGAAACCGGTAGCCTGAGCCTCGTTACTTTAATTGGCGCACCACTTAAAGCCTCACTAGTTAAGGCATGTCCAGTGACACCACATTGGGTTTTCCGTGCCTGTCAAGCGTTGCTGACCATGAATAGGGAACGAATATCAAATCAAAAGCAAATTAAAGAGTATCATGATGGTCACCAAGCCGATTCTGCTTCAGGTAACGCTGCAGTTGTTCCATAAGGATTTATTCCATCACCGAGACGGCTAGCCCGTGAAAAGCGAATATCTCAATTTTCACCGCCACTTTGAAGAATACGGATATGGTGTAGGTTGTTTGGTAGGGCAAATGGGTCTGTCTCACGTTCAACAGGTGACATCCGCGCTTGGTATATCGGTCATTTGAATGCGATGGAAATCTCGGTGTTGACCTACAAAGAACACCGGACAACTGTCCCATCCTGTTTGGGACTCATCGGCCGTGTAGTTCACGGGTAATGGTTTTGACTTCCAATACGAGGGTTCACGGTTCGAATCCTGACAGGAACACATGCATTACTGACGAGTCCGAAAAATTTCATCGCATTCGAAAGCATTAAACTGATGGGTAATTACCCATCTCCGAAGGAGTTAAACTTAGCCCAGGTCGTCAGCCCGTGGTGCTTGTGGAAAACCGAACAAACTCATCACAACATTCACCGTCCAAAGTGTAGCAACCATTCCCTCTCATGGACGTTGAAATTACCCGAAATCCGACCTGGTCTTCCTAGTTTGTTCGTAAAATATTAAAAATTAAGAGCTTTTGATGGGGAATTGATTTACGATGCGAGGGTAATACAAAAGAATGGAAGGTTCAACAACCGTTCGACACACGACTGATGACATTGAGGCGGAGGACGGGGTAGAAGCGATTGGATTAAAACTAAATGCGCAAATACCGTCTTTGGAAAATAATAAGGTGTATCTGTAGCGGAATTGAGTTGGATTGCAGATTAAAATAAAGTGGACTGAAGAAACTGATGAACAGAAACCATGTTACGGTTTAAGTCGCGAATTTTATTGAGTTCAATTTTCGCGTGAATAGATTATGCGTGAGTTGCGATATTATTTGATGTGATTTCTACAATGAGAGAGAAAGAGATAATCGGCAACCTAGCTGTGGAAATTGGAATGGCGAGCCATTTACGGCTTCGACGTTCAGCAGTGGTATTGCTCCGAACGCTGGCAGAATCACCTACCCGCGGGTTCTTTTTTTACTCACGAGGTTTGTTAAACCGACCTGCTAGCCGATGTCTCTTTAAGGTGATGTACGGTTTCAATCATTTCATTAACAATTGTTTGGTAGCGAAGTACTCTAAAAAGATGTAATCATTTTCAACTAACCAAACCTTTAGCGTTGATTTTAAGAAATTTAACTGAATGCATATTAATCAATGTTTTTCAGGTATTTGCTCCTCTCTCTTTGATGCCGTGCAAATTCAATCTTCTCGTTGGTGCCGAGTACGAGCTTCGAGCCGTTGGTGGGCCACAACCAGCTCTGGTCGATTTCACCGTGAATGAGGAATCTGATGGTACCAAACGTGTCTCAGTAATCCGCGTGACCAAAAATAGCGTTCTAATTCGGGCTGGTGCAACCCCAGGTTCAACAACTATTCGTGCCAGAGCGGTCAGTGTGTCTTCGCGAACCAACGTCTCTGGATGGGACTCAGATTTTTTGGATACTAGTATCGCCTCAGAAGTAAGATGTACTTCTATCCGTTGCTGTTTTCCAGCATCTTTCAGAGCTCATCCAAATGATTCGTAATAAGTGAACTTCTAATGCTGCTTACATGACAAGTGAGAGTCCGAAAGAAACATTCCGGTGCCTAAAGACAGCGGTTTACGTTCGATTCTTCCTCACTGAGAAACAGGTGGTTACTAGTTCGTTCGTCAGATGCACACAACCGTTACAATTCTAACGCTGTTTGAGGGAAGCAAATCAAAATCTGGCTTGTGTAATTGTGCGGCCTAATGTCACTTTTTGTCTTCTGCTTCTGTTGGTACATTTAATGAACCATTTTCGCACTGCTTACCGTTGTAGTTTTTTGGACACTTCTGCTCATGCAATCGTTATTCAGTTTTTATCACCGTCTTTCGGTTAACTATTTCAAAAGTGGGAAAGGTGGAAACTGATTACAATGAACCAGTTCTGTGGATGTACGAGTATCAGTCAGTCATCGCCGCTAACCATTGGTTGCTGTCTCGCGATCCCCGAACGTTAACTTAATGCGACCAAATTTTCCGGTTATATTTCCCCACCTAGCGTCCTAGTCTCACCACTCTCAGTCTTCCTCCAACCGTTACTTACCTCGACAAGCGTAGCACGCCTAGCAGGCCTCTCCCGTATGTGCGTAGCACCTGTTTCAGCTGCCGCAGTCTTTTCGGAAGAAATGATCGTCCAGGTGTGTGAGCACGATTATCTGATACTATCCACGCTTAGTATTGCATGTCCATTCATCCTAACAAACCCATGCCGTCCGACGTATTTGGCGCTGCTTGAACACTCATAGTGTGCATGTAAGCCTCCCTTGAGTGATTCAATCCCTGAATAATATAACTGCACCGGTCGAATAACTGTAGCATGCACTCAGCCCCAGGCGGACAGCCCAATAATACGCGGTTTTCCACCTTCTCTGTTGTCTTGACATTTGGAATAAGGTTGTTGATTGTACCCACCCAATCCTATGAAAGCATTCATCTGACACCTTAAGACTAATTGTTGTTTTTAAACCGCTAACTTCTTTATGAGGATAAGTTGCATTCTTGAATGTCTCTAATGATCGTAGTCCACAGTTATGGCTCCCGATTGTAAGAAACCGCGTGAAAATCAACAGATGAGGTGGAAACGAGGCCTGAATAGGGGCACAGAGCGATTGGGTAGAGTAGGTTCTCCACTCCTCCAAATTTAGGGTCCGATAGACTGTAACTTGTGGGTTGGAGACACTGGAGGACATGAAGACGAGCCGACAGTAACGGCGTTCTTGTTATCATTTCTTATCAGGTCAGAATGTTTGGAAAGGTATGTATGCACACTTAGATCAGGTACATTGTGAAGTTCGCTTCACTGTACCTCGCTGTACGATGATGATGATAATGGTGGCCCACGCGTGGCGATCGGCGACAAGTTTGGCCCAGTGTGAGACCCAGATTTAGTTCCACTAATCAGTACAACGAAGTAGACCGACATGGTATTTTCTCTTGCACAACATCTGATTTTATTAGGGATAACGTGATTCCTGGTGCTTGCAGTTGCTGAATATTGTGAGATGTGTTTTCTCCACCTGGTCACACTAACGAAAGTTCTCTCTGTTTGTCAATCGTTGGGTTTATCTGTCATCTCATTATTTGGACTC